ACCACCACCACCACCACCACCTTCACCACCACCACCTCCCTCCGCCGGAAACCCTCCACCTTCCCACATCATTTTCCCCCCAAAAAAACTTGATTTTTTTCAAGATTTCTCAAAATCAAGAAAATGGGTTTTTTATATATGATGAATCCAAAGAAGAAAGAAGAAGAAAAAGGGGGGCTGGTCCCAGGTGGGTGTGTTCAGACAGCAGGTGGGTTTTGCTTACTGTGTTGTATAGGTACTAGGGGTGCCACTCTATAAAGCATTTTTTTGGGACTACTCACGAGAAATACGCTCTAAAGTTTATACTACTACAAACAATCTGAGGAATTTTCTTTCTTTTTCTTCTCTTCTCTGTGTGTTTTCTTGTTTTTGTGAATACATATACTGCTTTATATATATATATATATATATATATAAAAATGATGATGAAATAGTGTTTTGTGTGTTTGTTTTTTAGCAAAATTATAATAATTGAAGAGATAAAGTTTGTTACAGGGATTCAGAATTATCATGTGTAAGCGTTTTTCATTCTATTTTTCAAAATGGCAAAAAAAACTTTGACTACTTTTTTAGATTTTACTAATTAAATGATTAGACTAAGACTAAGTTTTTTTTGACTGTTATTAAGAGTTAAAATAAATTTTTACATATCTAATGAAGTAAGATAATAATTGTTATTTACTAGTTTATATTTTGGGTTTTAACTATAAAGATTTTAGTGTTTGACTGCTCTTTTAAAATTCATTAATGGAATAATTGCTATGTTATCACAAGTTTTATGTATAAAGATTTTAATGTCAGTCTAAAATCGAATAAAGGAGGATAGTTATGGTAGACACGTAAATAAATTAACACAAAAGTTTTATATTCATTATGAATTTTATAGATAGAAAGAGCGGTTAGGCAATAACAAGGGTATTTTAAAATGAGGTTGCGTCAGAAAGTTTAATTATCAAAAATTATGTAATATAACTTACATATAAATTAATACATGAATAAGTTGATTCTCTACTGGCTTCTAAACGACGCAAGTGTTTGAAATAAAATAAGTAGTGTCAATGGCATTTTTATTTTATGAAATTTTAAATATATATAATTTTAATTCTGAAATTAGTTAATTTCAAATATATACAATTTTTATTTTTAATTAGTTAATGGTCTGAAATTGTAATGAAGATTACGAGGAAGAGTCTGCACTGACAGTGTGGGGATCAGATCAGTTACACAGAGAATCAACAAACACATTTTGATTTTCGTGCAAATTCTGTCCTTAAAGAAAAAAAATTACTCTCTCCGTCCCATTTCACGTAACACTTTTCAAATTTTGAGATTCAAACAAATCTATTTTTAACGGTAAGTTTTTCATAGATCTTTAAACATTTTGAGTTATCAACTATTGTGACTTATAGTGTTTTTTACGTAGTTTACAAATATATAAATTTTATTTTAAAAATTAAAAATTCCATGCGTAAATTCCCGATCAAGCGTAAACTGTTTGACTCTTAAAAAATGAAAAGTATCACATAAACTGAGACATAGAGAGTATAATATTGACAAGATTATACTATTTTTTTGTACTCCATTCAATAAAACAATAATAATACATAAATAAAAATAGAGGTTTCAATATCAGTCTATTATACAAACCAATAATGACTGTGGGATAGTAAGTTTCGAGTTCAAGGATTAGATACGAATCTTTGTGATTGTCGTGAAATTTTTCTCGTGAGTTCAAATTTATTCAGACTCTAATATAAATATTAAATTTCAAAAAAAATAATTTTGTGATTGTGGGGGACAATTATTTTCTATTTACACTTTTATGTAAACTTTATTGCTTGTAAAAAGCAATTTTATAATAGAGATGTCTCCTCGATTATTGAAACAGTCAACTAACCAATGGTTACTTGCCACATCAGTAACTGTGGTCCCCACTCCCATTGCTAAGCTCAATTATTAGCAGATTAGATCAGTCAATCGTTACATCGGACACAAATTAATTAGGATGAACCTCTCGATTCTATCTGATTCCGCACCTAATTTAAAGTTAGCCTTTGATAGTTCGAATTTCCAAACGTATAAATCTCAAGTTGAGAAATGTCAACCTTAACCTCCAAGCCTAAATGTCCAAAAGTTCAAATTGCGCAAGCCATATACTAAATTTGACGATTCCCAACTTCAGAATCGCATATTTGAAATTTAAACTATCAAGAGTAACTTGAGACGGGGATTTTCAACTTCAGTTCCATGTGAAATTGATTCTGAAACACTTGGCCCAATTAACAAGAGCCGGAGGTAGAGTGTTGAAATCGAATTCATAAGAACCCAATACTTTTGGCAATGAAATATAAATTTGTGTATAATTTTATAAAAATAGCAATAATCAATTGAGATGAACCTATATTGAGTTCAACGGTATAAGACTTAAAAGGTCAAACCCCTAGTCTTAAATTCTGGATCCGCCTCTGTCAAGCAAAAACTCAACAAATCTGAGCAGACTCCCTTTTTCTTTTCTTGAATCATGTGCATCCTGGAATAAAGTAATGAACTGAAAATACACCTTATCATGTTTGAATCTCCCCCATATGATGTTGTGAATATGAATTCAAATTGTGCACAAGTTCATCAAAACATAGGTCTACAACATTGGTCTTACTTATACATGAACGTATCCGAAAAACAAATTGCAGAGTTACACTTAGCATACAGGAATTTTTTTCTGGTTCGACGTAAATTTAAAGACATTTGCAGAAAGATCACCTGAAATAATTTGCATCCAAACTTTACAGACTCTCTATTGTTTCAGTCTTGAAGATGCTACATGCAACGGGTAAAGAACGTTTGCCCGACATAGCCCCCATGCATTGCCCTTCTGACATTGGATTCAAACATCTTCGGGTTGTCTCTCAATACAGCAGCTGCATCGTGATTGAGGGGATCCTCATGATTCGGTTCCTGTAGAATCACAAGTTCTGATTGTTAAATACTTTGGATGAGGGACAAGTGAAGTATCTTTATATCAAATTAAAGGAAAATACCGTGAACAGATGATATAAGCCATAGATGATGGTGTTAATGTTGAGCACAGGCTTCCAGTCTTCTCGAAGAATGTTGAGACACACATTTCCTTCCAAGTCAATATTCGGGTGGTAAACCTGCTCCAACAAACAAAAAAAAGGGGTCTTACCAGTGATGATGATATATTGTCATCGTCTCAACACATTCTAGAAGGAAATAAAAGAGTATAACCAGTACCCACCTTTGTCTTGCATTTAACCTTTGGTGCTTCATGAGGATATATTGGAGAAATACTGAAAGAGAACGTAAATGTGCCACCCCTATATACAGGAACAACGAAAAATAAGCAATAAATGACATCACTATAGAAAGGCAAGTTAAATTCACCAAAGTTCCCATTTTCTTTTAAAAAGAAGAAGGTAAAAATAAAGTAGAACTAGCAGCACAACAATTATTTCTTAGAAGTAAGAAACTTGAAGAATGATCTACAAAATTAGTGATAGGTAAGTTGTAATAAATTTACTTACATATAATATCCTTCATCAGGCCGAATGGTGACTTCAAAGTTCATGAGGTCATCTTTTCCATTGGGAAATGATATGCTACATGTTTTGGGTAGATTTAGCTCACTTATATCTACAAGAAAAAAGATGCAAAGGTTTACTCATCATAATTTAGATGCAAAAGAACAACAGGAGACAGCAGAAAGAACAAGCCAGAGAAACAAATACATAGAAGTTAGGACAAAGAGATACAAGTAGTTAATAAATCCTTAGCTGTAAGTGAGATTTTTACAAGAAACTCTCCAATTCCTAAGAGAAGTCAGCTAGAGATAAAGGAAACAGAAGCTAAGAAATTATCATGTTGTAGTCTCACATCAAGCAACAAAATACCCCCACCCCCACCCCACCCACGTCTCCATGCTTGAGTGCACACATGTAATAGTCATAGCATGCAGAAGACAGCATTAAGATTGAGAACTTGGATATGCAGAAGGTTCTGAGAAATCAATACAGTTTGTCACAAGTATGCACCAGCAGAACAAATCAATAGAAGAATGACAACAAATGATATTTGGCCTCTGAAGTAATAAATGGGAATTTTTTAAAAACCTTGATTGATGGAAGTGAGTGATGATCTGTATAGTACTAACTATTAAGATGACATCTTAAGACTTTGCACTGAGTTTTGCTCAATGAGTGAGAAGGAAGAAGAGACTGTCAATTCACTTGACAATTTCTTTTTCTTTTTTTGGAGATAGTAATATTAATTCTCTATACCACAGGTATACTACAACCAAAAGTGTATTTACCCTACAAAAGTATTACAACTTACATTTTGTAGTTCAATTCTATTCCTTACAAAACGTCTCTGACATCAAAAACACTTCTGTTTGAGCAAATAGTTTTTGCTCACACCAAAAATAGAGAAGGCCTAAGGAATTCATTTTATAATTCAGTAAGCTGTTCTGCGCATTCTCAAAACATCTCTTTTTCCTTTCAGTCCAGACTGACCACCAAATGCAGGCCGGGACTATCTTGCATCTCTCCTCATCCTTACTCACATAACCGTCCATATTCCAGCATCTTAAAACATCTGCGATGCTTCCAGGTTTCACCGACCTGATCCTTTTTAAATCTTCCACAGCTGTTCTGTAGATTTAAAATGTAATGATTGTCTCAGCTTGTTCCCCACATAGAAAGCACCTTGAAACTAGTTGGTGACCCCTCTTGTTCAGATTTTCACGAGTCAAAACTGCCTCTTTAGCCAAAAGCCAAATGAAACAGTTTCCTTTATAGGGACTTTTTTTCTTTTTTTGATGAAGAGGGACTTTTTGGTTTTCATATCATCTTCCAAGCCCAAATCTATTTCCTGCACCACTGCTATATTCAGTTCCTTATATGCAGATTTGACAGAGTAGTTACCCTTCATGTTTTTGATCCATTCCAGCTTGTCTACCTACCCCTTCATTAAGATTGTTGAACCTGCTACTCCTTCCATCTCCCAGTCATTCAAATATCTCCTTAGGTGTTCACTTGACAATTTCTAAAAGAACATTTTGAGGTGGGCCAAAAAAAAAAAAAAAAACTTTGTATACTTATTTCAACTTTTCAAATTTTTTGTACTTCATTCAAATTTTCAGAAGTCTAAGTACTTATTTCAAATCAAAATATGCAAAAGAAGGGAAGGCACCTCTGCGTCCACCCCCAGCTGTCACTGCCCGGCGCTTCTATGTACCAACCCTCCTCTTTTTTCCTTTTCTTTTCTATAACCGTGATGTCCGGGACAGCTTGCGCGCACCTCCACTAATTCCACGTACCTAAACCTCCCATCAGCAATAGGTATAAAAGTAACTTTATCCATCAAGGCTAGGACAGATGGGAAGAGCTCACCTATGTTTTGTCTCTGCCGGGATTTAAACCTTGAGTCTTCATGGTTCTCCACCCACTTCATTGACCACAAGGCCAGAACCTTGGTTGCAATTGTATCAACCCTCCTCTACCTCCTACTTTATTCCTGTTTAGTCAGGAGGTTCTTCATGAATGTGGTAAGAGGGTATGACAGAATGAATTTGATTCTACAAGCTCAATAAGTAACAGGGTCAACAAGTAACTTTGTTGCACTTTTAAGCACTTGCAAATAAGATGGAGAAGAACAGGATGCGGCAATTGGCATAGGGGAACGAGGAACAATGGAGAAAATAGGAGGATTACATACCCAATCCCTCTCGAATGAAAAATTAACAGAAGACGTAAGAATTCAATGTTGTTTCCATGAACTATGGCAACCTACACTCACTCCCCGTTTGAGAGATTTTTCAAGTACTTCCAACACACAATTCTTCACTTAGTTCTCCATTGTACATATACTTCCCGCAGTTTTCGAGAAAAGGTAAATGTGGGAAGAACCATAAAACTTCCTAGGAAACATACATCACAAACATAAACCTTTTCAACAAGTCTTAAGAGTCTAAATCTTACTGCATCCTTAATGGGTGCCAAGACCTCAACAATAATTTTATCCTGACACTAACAGTAACCTACCAGATTTTTCAATTAGGATCACTAATGCAGCACTCATTTCCAAACTCTCAAAGCAGAAAGTAATCATCCTGCCTGAAAGGAATACTGTCATACAAATGCAGAATTCCAAGATCACTCATAGGCCTTCATGGGTTTTGAACAACTCCAACAAAAAAAACAATACTACATTTGGCAACAAGAGAAATTGGAAAGAACAAGGGAACTGCTTGATTATTATTATTCTTCCCCATCAGTTTAGCTACAAGTTGATGTGCATGCAAAAGTCATACTCAAAAGCTTGAAGATAGATTACTTCCTCCATTTAGTCCACTCCAAGTAACCTGAAGGCTTAAGTTTGCTATGTCAACTGTAATTACCCAGTGTGCAAGCCTAAGTGCAGAAGTAAGAGGATTAAAAATGGTATTGTTGAGAAAGAAAAGTGAGCAGCGTGAAAATTTTGCCAAGAAGAGAAGTGCAGAGGCATGAAAGGTTTTGCAAATTAATGCAAGTTATTTGAATGAGTCTAAATGGTGTTAAGACTGTCACAAATCTGATTCTTTCATATTTATTCAAACTCATTAAAAGGGTTTTATAAGGAAACAAAACAAATGCACTTTATAGGCTGAATCTGAATAATTAAGATTCAAGCCTTAAAAACAAATGCACTTAATGGACTGAATCTGGATGATAAGATTTAGACCTCCATTAAGCGCACGATGCTAAATGGAAATCACTAGTTAACCTAACATGCTCAGAACACGTGATTTTTTTGAGAAAGGTAACATTCGTATGTATTGACAAAAACCAGTACAACAAACCATAATTACAACTTATCAACAAAACAGGATATCTGAATCTAAATTCTAAATAGAGCCAAGGATCTCAATAATTGACACAGTATCCTCTAGGTGCATCTGGTGTAGAAACAAAAAAGTTTGATACAGTTCAATTTGATCTTCTGAAGATCACAACTTTTGCTCTCAAAACATCTAGCATTTCTCTCTCTCCAGACTGTCCACCAGATACAGGCTGGGACAATCCTCCATCTATCTTTGTCTGAAGCTCCCCCACCTACCTCTTCCCAACTGTAGAGGAGGTGGGTGATTCTGTTAGGCATAGTCCAAACAACACCCCTGAGGCTAATGAAAATCCTCCGGAGTTGGGTTGTTATCCAGCACTGTAAAAACAGATGGCCAACTGTCTCAACCTCTTCTCCACACAAATAGCATCTCGAGCACATAGAGAACTTCCTCTGCTTGAAATTTTCTTGTGTCGGGACGGCTTATCTTGCCAGTAACCAAGTAAAACATGCCACCTTGAAAGGGGTTTTTGTTTTCCAGATCTGTTTCCATGGCCAATTTGGTGGTTGTTGGCCACCTTTGTTCAAAAACTTGTATGTTGAGTTCACCTTATACATGCCTTTGTTCCACCATAGTCTATCAGCCTCATTCTTTGTCCCTTTGAACTCTGCCAGAGCTCTAAAAAATTCTGTCACAGTTTCAATTTCCCAGTCATTAAAATTCCTTCTAAACTGGATGTTCCATCCTCCTTGTGTCCAGCTGTCAGCTACACTCATTTGTTGATGTACTGCCAAAACATACAGTTCAGGGAAAAGATTTTTTAAACTAGCATGTCCCAGCCATTTGTCCTCCCAAAATGAGGTCTTACTTCCATTGCCTACCCTCACAGTTGTATTATTTCTCAAAAAGGGCCAAGATATTCTAATAGACCTCCATAGACTTGCACCATAGGGTGTAGATACCTCATTTGCCATCCATTTGTTCTCCTCTCCATATTTAGCTTTAATTACTTTGCCCCAATATGCTTGAGGCTCTTGTGAGTATCTCCATAACCACTTCAGTCTAAGTGCCTTGCTTTGTATTTTCAGATTTCTTACTCCTAAGCCCCCTTGCTTCTTTCCCCAAAGAACCTCGTTCCATTTGACCAAGTGTCGAACAGTAGAGATATTTTCCTCACTCCCTTTCCAAAGAAAATCTCTCCTAATCTTGTCTAAACTTTCTATCACTCCATCAGGAATGGGAAAGATAGCCATCATATAGGTTGGGAGAGCATCCAAAACAGAATTGATGAGAGTGACTCTGCCGCCTAAGGAGATGTACTGAAATTTCCATCTAGTTAACTTTTTCTCACACTTTTCAATTACCAAGTTCCAAATGCTCATGGCTTTTGACTTGGCACCTAGAGGCATACCTAGGTACATAGTAGGCAGGGAGCCTACTTCCCCTCCCAGAATTCCAGACAAACCCAACATAATGGGGACTTCATTGATTGGGAATAACTAGTTTTTCCTCCAGTTGATATGAAGTCCAAAATCTCCCTCAAAAAGCACTAAAATTGATCTCAGGATCAGTAATTGCCCTTCTTCAGCATCACAGAAGATTAAGGTATTATCAGCATACTAGAGATGTGTGACTTCCATGTTGCCATTTAAACTTGGGTTTAGGTTTGTGACTACCTCGAACCCACTTAGACATTCATTATTCCTAGCCACCTTTATCACGTAATTTAGACCCTCCATGGCTATGATAAAGAGAAAAAGGAGACAAAGGATCACCCTGCCTCAAACCCCTGTTTGCAGGGAAAAAACCTTCACGTGATCCATTGATAAGATCTGAGAATCTTACGGTGGAGATGCAATATCTTACCCAGTGAACCCACTTCCTTCCAAAACCCATACATGAGAGCATTTTCAGCAAAAAAATCCTAGTTTACATGGTCATATGCCTTCTCGATATCCAATTTGCACAAAATTCCAGCCTTTCCTTGATTAATCCTGGAATCTACCACCTCATTTGCAATTAGGACAGCATCCATGATTTGTCTATTTTTTATGAAAGCCATCTATTGAACATCTACCAGCTTAACAATAACTCTCTTCAATCTTTCTGTCAGCACCTTGGATAGAAGCTTGTAGACACTACCTATGAGACTGATAGATCTGAAATCTCTCAGTTCCTTAGCTCCATTCTTCTTTGGAATCAAAGCAATGTATGTGGCATTGAAACTTTTCTCAAAGACACCATGAGAGTGGAAGTTCTTAAAAGTTTCCATGATATCCCTTTTTACTACATCCCAGCATTTGATGTAGAACCCCATAGTGAAGCCATCTGGACCAGGAGCTTTGTCCATTGCACACATCTTCAAACATGAAAACACCTCTTGTTCCTCAAACTCCCCTTGTAGAGCTTCTCTTTCCTCTTCCGTGATCATGGGACAATTGATCAAGTTAACTGAAGGTCTCCAACTTGTATTTTCTGAATATAACTTCTGATAGAACCCAATAATCTCCTCTCTGATTCTCACTGGATCCATCACAGGTTCATCTTCAATCATCAGTTGGTCAATATTATTCCTTCTTTTATGCGCATTGGCCACTTTGTGGAAAAAATTGGTATTTCTGTCTCCCTCTTTTAGCCAAAGTGCCCTTGATCTTTGTCTCAATGCTATCTCTTCATTTTTTAAGTGCTCTTCATAATCCATTAGAAGAGTTACCTTCAAAGCTGCCTCTGATTATGTTAAAATCCTATTCTCCATTACAGTATCTAGAATGGCTAACTCGTTCTGCTCAGAACACGTGATATCTCACCAATAGAGGGCTATATAATAAATGAGATAAAAAAAATGACCAATTTGCCGTGCAGAAAGCATTCAACAGAAACAACTTGCAAAATGCTAAATGGTTAAAGCATTAGTTAGCCTAAAAAGTTCAAAAGAGTTGGAAAACAAAAGCACCTTTATGAAGACGCAACTCTCCTGGACTTTGTTTCTTGACTGGTGGCTTTCCATTTGCGTTCTCAGCTTGCTCTCTCTGCTTTTCTTTTACTTTAAACAACTTAATCATGGTCCCTGCAAGAGGAAACACATAACACAATTAGAGCACGAAAGACCATCGAAGTACATGAAACTATTTTCACATCTTTTTTCTTTTTTAATAACCACATAACAACCTTCAAATACATAAAATTTGCTGAAGTTATATCCATGAAGACCCTTTATCCTTTCTTTCAGTATTTTATAAAGATTTCATCAGCACGTTCTGAATTGTGAAAAATGGATCATTTCTTTCCGTAAAAGAACAAAAAAGGGTTCATATTTCATATTCTAATCCTATTTATCCCCTGGTGATGGACAAAATCATTTAAATAAACTGTTCCTAGGAATTATCCTATTAATCATAGCACAGACATGCTTGGCAGAAAGGACATGTAACCAACTCCATTCTATGAAAAAAAATGTCACAAATCAAAAGCACACTTCATCCCTATCGAGTTAATTTTTTAACAAAAGTAAGACAACAGCTCACCCATAAGCCATGTTGCTCGAACTCTTGAGAAATGTCAATCGGTGCGTGTCGGATTCTCCAAAAGTACTTATTTTTTGGAGAATCTGACACGGATGCAGCACCCAAAGTGAAAACCCGCGCAACTTAGCTCATAAGAAGACTGACCAACATCAAAAACTCTAAAACCTAGTCGGTGCAAGCTATGACCCAAGTCAAAGACTGAAACTTTAGGAGAATCGATAAGCAAATATAGTCTATAGAAAGTAAAATTGAAACAAACCCAGATATAAAATCAATAATACAACAAGAACAAACAGGAAAAACAATCAGCTCAGATCAAACACGCCAGCAAATACTAAAATTCATTGATTAAACAGCTTAAAACAGTCAGCAAAACAAAGGGTTTCGATAGATTAAAGCAACTAACAGTACTCTGATCGATTATGCGATCTGGGTACCAATCAAAACACCCAAAAAATCACTGAATCTACAAAAGGGTATACAGCTACAAGTAAATAAAAAGAGCTGAAACAAGAAAAAGAACCTCCTTAGATGAGAAGATGCAGAGTAGAAAAGGGTCCTTTTTCTGATCTCAGGTTAGCGTAAACCAGCAAAGGGATTCTTTCTTCTCTCTTATCGAACTGATTGATGAGAGAGAATCTGAGAAAGAAACAAAGAAAGAAAGAAATACGCTGGACGCCAGTCCAACTTTTTATATTTTCACTCCACAACCACAAATACTTGTTCTACGGTCTACACTAGTCTATGCATTCGCGCGGTCATTTGGTCGAGAACAAGTTATTTTTAAATTAATTCTTTTGAAATACGTTATATTATATTTCATTACTATAACTTAATACCTTCAATCAAACATAAGATAAAATAATTTTATGTTTTATGCCAAAATTATTATACTTTATATCTCACAGTAAGTGATTCTTTAGGCATTGTTTGGTAGTTAGTTTAGATGTTGAGTCATTAAATTTTATATAAATTATATTATGTTTGACAACTGATTAAAAAGTAAATTATTCACGAATAAAATTTACAGGGAAAATACATTCACGAATAAAAAAGTGAGAAAATAACAACTATGACGACAAAATTGTTCTTCTTATAGCCAGTTAGAAGCCACAAAAAAATAATATTGTCAGGCAGTTATTTGCTTTGATCAAGTACATAAAATCGAAAACTTCATAATAATTCAAGGGTATAATTGAAAAGAAGCTTTTTGTAGAGTTTTAATCTAAACACAAGATTAGGTGGGAAACAATGAACCAAACACTTGATAAAAATAAGCATTGTGATACTAATCTATGCATTACTTATCCATGCATTACTAATCTTTGTCTTGCTAATTCTTGCGTTATAAATCTTTGTACCAAACGACCCGTCTTTTGTCTTACTAAATGTTATTCTCATATTAAGTGAATTGTTTGGACTTTTTTCATAATTTAAAATAGGGAAAATTGTATGAAATAGCAAACTATTAATTCAAATTAAATGTTATAGCCATAATTTATTTTATTTGTAATTCGCAGCAAACATCATATTTTTTTGCCATCTGATTCGGTATACAATTAGTCATTTTATACATTTCAGTATAAAATGTGTTTGTGTTTGTATAAAGAGAGAGAAACGTGTATATACAAATACAAATACATATTTTTTCGTCCTATACACTTATAATTATACAAATACAGTTCTTATTATACAAATTACAATGTATAAATGAATTTATACAAAACTGAACAATTTGTATAAAATTGAATGTATCTAGTGAATTATACAAATCAAAAGCTCCATAACAAACATAAAATTTGTTATGGAGCGCAATTATGCAAACTATAGCTATAACAATACAAATATGATTTTTATGTTTGATATATGTGAAAGTTGCTCAAATTTATATGATGTTTGATTTGTAATTTAGAATTTATATATTTAATATATGTATTAGTTATGAGGAAAATATATGTATTGTTTTATGCAGAATAAAAGCTTAAATAATTAATATCTCCATAAAATAATACGTAGATTTATTCATGCGTATGACTAAACCTTACATTACTACTATTTCCACAACTCTAACTAGCTATCAAACGACCTTTTAGAGTTCGATTGATAATCGGTTATATAAATAAGTTGTTTCTTAACTACTTGCCAAATGGCCTCTTAGAGTTGGTTTGTTTTTTGGGGACTAAATTTGGAAATATAATAAATATCTCCACCAAAAGTATCACTGGTTTTGATATTTTTAGTTGTAATGGTGAAATGATGTTACATATAACATATCGGGAGATTTAGTTTTGTAGTTTTTTTATAAAATTATCCATAGCTTTATGTTATGTGTGAAATTTCACTAGGTAAGCTGATGTTGTTGTCAATTTTTATGAGAGATTTTCATTTTAATAAATAAGAGATCTGAAAATGACATTGTTTTCTTTAATCTTATAAACCATCATTAAAAAAATCATTTTTCGCAATCATATCATCTAACATAATATGAAATATCGGTTTCTTTTTGTTATTATTACTATAGTGAATATTGTACCAGAGGAAGTTTGTGTGGTCCAACTATAGCGTTTGGCACAATTATAATTTTATGATTAGTAATTTTGATCTAAACACTGAAAATGACATATGCCTTTTTCAAATAATTTTTCGATTTATCTAATTTGAATCAAAGATATATTTTATATTTCGTTTTAATCCAACAAATTAAATATTTTTATCTAGCCATAAAATATAAGTATATATTAAATAATCTTGTTATTATTAATTCCAACAGTATGATTCATTATAATTTATATCATTGATATCAGGATAAATTATTCGTCAGCAATATAATCCCTTATCCTTTTCATAAGTTCATAGAGTTTTTCCTCTTTTCATAAATTATCCTCTTTCTAATTTTGTCGTATGTTTTACTAATAGTTTATTGATATATTTATCGTTAGCAAATTATCTTGAATTTATCTTTATAATTAACCAAGCTTCAACATAAAATGAATGATCCCATGTGTTTAAATTCTTTGAGAAAATTAATGCTCAACTTTGCCCCTATATTTTGTATTTAAGTTTACTTTTAGTTTTAGGATAGAACTTCATTACGTGTCAAGGAAAAAAATAAGCCTATTTCTTAATGGAGGAGTAATTATTTTATTAGAATAAAAGTCAATAGATTGCAAAGTTACTCAACTTCAAAATTTGATTATTTTTTTCCTTCAATCAATAATTTTACTGTACAAATAATTAAAAATGTTTTTGTTCTTTGCTTCGTGTAATAGAATGTTAATCAAAGAAACAATGTATTAGTTCTTGAAAGTTTATTGCACTAATATTATTTACACGGACTAGCCACTTTTCAGCCTTACAACTAAAATATAGTCATTATAATGTTGAGTTGAAATGGCATATGATAATATAAAAAAAAAAAAAAAAATTGTGAAAATTTTATATTTCTGGTGACTATATTTCAACTATATGAACTAAAAAGTGATTATTTGTGAATTTTATTCGAACATATTTTGACCTATTTTCTCTGTATTTTATATCACTTTCTCTTATTTCCTAATTTGGTTTTTTTTTTTTTAATCTTTGTTGTGTTGCTATTCTTCAAGATTTTTTTCTGGTCACGTATGGACACATCAATTTTCCTTTTTAGAAAAGTTAACACGGAATAATACATAAAAGGGAAAAAAAAAGAGTGAATTGCAAATTTGCAACTAACTCCCTAAATTTTGGAGATTACCTAGGGATGGCAATTGGGGAGGGGCAGGGCAGGGCAGGGCAAGAGAAGCCTTGACCAGCTAATCCCGTTTAGTATTTATTTGTATTCCTCACGCCAAACGATCCCTAAATAGTTCATATCTTTTAGTAAAAAGAAAAAAAGATAATATTTCATATAGTTATTCAATTATGGTTAGTTCTTATGGAAAGTCACTCAACTATGGTAATTCTCTTGAAAAGTTAGTCAATTTTATTTTATAACTCAAAAAGTCACTTAGTTATAATAGTTTTCTTAAAAAGCCATTCAATTTTTTAATATACCACAAAAATCACTCAACTATTAATATTTCACCTAAAAAATTTCTCAACTTATTTAAATAATTTTTTCATACTTAGAAAGTCACCCGACCTAAAAAAAAGAAGAAGAAGGGAGTAATGCCTTTTAATTCAATGAAAATATTGGTTGATAGCATTACCACTCAATAACAAGATATCTATATGAAAGTTGACGTATGAAAGAGTGCCTCATAGCAATGGTAAATTATTTTTGTATAACTTATAGGCCACGTGTTGTAGTCGTGAAATCAACAACTTTTGTGTTATGAAATAAGTTGCTTATATTATACTCTTTGAAGTAAAGGAAGACGAAGTTTGGATTTAAATTTTATATTTGTAAATATATGATAAATACTTTATACATTATTTTTGTTATAAAAAAATGATTAATATAGTAATTTTGTTCCCGCAAATTGCAAGAATACTATCAACAGATCTCGTAAGATTTTCAAGAAATTCTTTGATTTCTTCATGAAACATGATTAAACTAAGTGAATAATATAAATGTTGTATTGCTAAGAATTAGAGTGCCTTTATAAATAGATCAAATGAATTATTTGTATGTTATTTATCTTACATTCTCATGATTGTGAGAATGTAATAATCTCATGATTGTCTAATACCTTTAGCCAAACGCATAATAAAATAGTGCTACATTTTTACCGTATACCTCACATCAAACGACTCCTTAGGGTTCCACCTAAAATTATATTAGCAGATAGTAGATTTTTTTTTCTCTAAGACGATCTAAAAAATAAATGTTCAATTAAATTGTCTTTTTTTTAATGATCTGCTAATATAATTTTAGGTGAAACCCTAAGGAGTCGTTTGGTGTGAGGTATACGGTAAAAATGTAGCACTATTTTATTATGTGTTTGGTTAAAGGTATTAGACAATCATGAGAATGTAAGATAAATAACATGTAAATAATTCATTTCTTCTATTTATAAAGGCACTCTGATTCTTAGTAATACAACATTTATATTATTCACTTAGTTTTCACTTAGGTCATTCTTTTTCAAATAAACTCAAAAGATAAATAGGTTATTCTTTTTTAACAAGAGAAAGTATTTTTTTTTAAACAAGTAAATTTGTTTAGGCTTTCAAAGAGCATTAATCATAGGAATAAAATGGAAAAACATTAATTAATTATGTCTTGATTTATTTTGTGGACAAGTAATTTTGAAATATATGATCTTATTTAGAAAAAGTTTAATTTAATCATATCTTGATTTAATAAGTGGACTGGTAATTTGGAATATGTGATCTTAGTTTGAAAAAAGTTTTAATTAATCATATCTTGATTTAATTAAATGGACACGTAAGTTGAAATATTAAATTGTTCAATTAATATAGGATGAAGAAAATATTATTTTAAGTGCTAAAAAGGAAAAAAATTTAAGAATCATTTAAGAAAACAACACTTCATCACCCCTATAAAGTCATTCCATTTCAACAACATCAATACATAAGCATTAGTATTTTTTTAAGCTTACTTTTTGGGGGAAAAAAAATGAGATCTATGAATATTGTTGATTCATGGGGTCAAGCTTGTTTAGTTATCAATCAATCTTTACCCTATAAATCCTTAAATGGAATGATGAAAATCAATCTGAAAAATCGAAGAATTTTGAAACAAACTTTATCCTATAGACCATTTTCATCTGTAACTGTTTCAGCTATTGCTACCACTAGAGAAGATGAGAAAGTTGTTAAGGAAGAAGAAGAAGAAGAAGGAGCAAAAATGGAGAATGAATTTAATTTCAAGGTTTACGTAGCTGAAAAGGCGATTTCAGTAAATAAAGCTTTGGATGAGGCTATAATAGTAAAAGACCCACCTATGATCCATGAAGCAATGCGTTATTCGCTTCTCGCCGGCGGGAAGAGAGTCCGGCCGATGCTCTGTATCGCCGCCTGTGACCTTGTTGGGGGAAACCAGGGGAATGCTATGGCGGCTGCTTGTGCTATTGAGATGATACATACTATGTCTCTCATTCATGACGATTTGCCCTGTATGGATGACGACGATCTCCGCCGTGGGAAGCCGACGAATCATAAAGTGTATGGTGAGGATGTGGCGGTCCTCGCCGGAGATGCGCTCCTTGCTTTCGCATTCGAGTACCTCGCTACCGCTACAATCGAAGTTTCTCCGTCGAGGATCCTCGTTGCTGTTGCCGAATTGGCGAAATCTGTTGGAACTGAAGGGTTAGTAGCTGGACAAGTAGCGGATTTAGCTTGTACTGGTAACCCTAATGTGGGATTAGAAATGCTCGAATTTATTCACATACACAAAACGGCAGCGTTGCTGGAAGCTTCCGTTGTAATCGGAGCAATCCTCGGCGGCGGAGCAGATGAAGAAGTGGACAAGTTAAGGAGATTTGCCCGATGCATCGGTTTATTGTTTCAGGTAGTTGATGATATCCTTGACGTGACAAAGTCGTCGGAGGAGCTTGGAAAAACCGCCGGAAAAGATTTGGCGGTGGATAAAACGACATATCCAAAGCTGCTGGGATTGGAAAAGGCTAAGGAATTTGCGGCGGAGCTCAACGGCGAAGCTAAACAACAGCTGGCGGCGTTTGATTCACACAAAGCTGCTCCATTGATTGCTTTAGCTGATTACATCGCTTATCGTCAAAATTAGGATTTTCTTTTTGTGGAAATTTTTTAGTTTTATGAAGTAATTGAATGAATGTAGTTCTTCATCATGTGATTTGAATCTTGATTTATCAAGTGAAAATGAAGGTGATTTATTATATTATTAATAAATAAAGTCGATTTTGAGTCGTGAAATCAGTTACTAATATTTATGTTGAAGTATGTTTACATTACATTCATTCATTTATTAGTAATACTTTAGTTATTGTATTTTTTACTTTAAATGTGAAGATGTTTTGGGCAATATGTATTAGTTAGGAAGGAACATGTTGCTCATTTATAAGTAGCAATTGAACGACTTCTGAGTTTGAATCTTCTCTAAACTCAACTTGAACGTGAAATGCTTTGGACAACAGAGTAGACTACTTTTTTTAATTATATAATTGTGTTTGGATATTGCATAACCAATTAATTAAGATTGTTTTGTGTTTTATTAGAATTAGTTGAAATTTATATTGGGAAATGTTTGTGTTTTCTACGTTACTTCCTTTGTTGTAAGTTGTTTGTGTTTTACTAGAATTAGCTAACATTTATAGTGGAAAATGTTTGTGTTTTCTACGTTACCTAATTCTTTTGTTCTAATTATTTGTTATGTGTTCCTTTTTCATCTATTTTAAAAAGAAAGTTTTTTTTCTGTTTTAGCAACACTTTACTGATGTTTATGTTGAAGTATTGTTTACGTTACATTCATACACGTATTAGTAATGCATGATTTAATTACTTATATATTAGTTATTATATTTTCTACCTTGAAGATACTTAGGCAACACGTACGTATTAGTTAGGAAGGAACATGTTGCTCCTTCCTGATTTCTTCCTAACTAGCAATCGAACAACTTCTGAATTTGATTGTTCTCTAAACTTAGTATAAACATGAAATGCTTTGGACAACAAATAAAACTATCTTTTTATAATTGTGTTTGGATACAGCTTAAATCAATCAAGATTGTTTAATATTTTATTAGAATCAATTTATTTTCTACCTTACTTCCTTTGTTTTAATTTTGTTTATCTTATATTCTTTTTTCGTCTATTTTTTTTTTTTTACTTTAGCAACTCTTTATTTTCAACTACTATTGATGAACCACATAAGGATAAAGGTGATTAGATGCGTGCTCTATTCAATTTTGGTTCCTCGTAGAAAATGAAACACCACCATTGGCTGTCTGTACAAAACAAGTAAAAAATTAATTGAAATGGAATTTGAATCACATGCAATACCAATAACAATGAGGATGTGGTGGGTTGAATGACATTGGTGGAGGCACATGAATGGATAAGATCCTTCCACTCGGCTTTTTAAAATGAGATTATTTCTTTATATTTTGATATTTTTAAGGAAAAGTTTTCGTTTTATCGAATTCCTCCACTTTTAACTATCATATCGATTTTGAGCTAGTGATAATCAAAAAAAAAACAAAAGGTACAAAAGATATTTTTGAACTATGCGCAGATTATTAGTTTCATCATCAAATTATTGACAGACTCAAAAATATTTTTCTACTTGACTAACTAAACTCTGATCTGCCACATAACATAGAAAGTGGTCTCAAACTTTTTACGAGCATGATGCTTTTAATAAAAAGACAAGGGAAGTGTTGAAAACCACTCCTAAACTTGACGAGAATTTAGAAGTGTATTTCACTCATATTACAAGATCGGCGTGTATTTAAATTCAGTTAGTCAAGTAAATAGGTGTTCTTAAGGTTGTTAATAGTTCAAGGATGAAACTAATAATTCACGCCGAGTTTAGAATACTCTGAAAAAAATTATGTTAAAAAGTGTTTATCCCTTAAATGAATTTAACATAGTGCAAATTTGAATTGATAGAAACTTTATGAAAATATCGAACCTCGTATGTTAAACACGAGAAGAATAAAATGTAGGAAAAATAGGATGAAATAGCAAACTATGAATTCAAATTAAATGTTATAGTCATAGTTTCTTTTATTTGTAATTCACAACAAACATTCCATGTTTTTTGCCATCCTATTTGTATACCGAAATATACAAATGCAGGACCCATTTGTATATTGAAATATATAAATAGACCAAAATACATATTTTTTATGTATACCGAAATACAATATATAATATGATTTTTATGTTTGCTAAACCTTAAATTACTCTAAAATATATGCTTTTCAAAAAAATAACGCCGCTGCCGGGGATCGAACCCGGGTCACCCGCGTGACAGGCGGGAATACTTACCACTATACTACAACGACCTGGTTGTTATACTTGTCCAGCTATATATATTTGTCCCACTTTTAAAGAGAACTACTCATTATTTTCAAGCATTTTTACCAACTTACTTTTAATCAAAGAACAGTTAATTATAACTAAACAAGGGTAATTTTGAAAGAATAAGATCAATTCTTTCTTGAAATTCTAAAATACCATTCATTTTAAAATAAAATGAAAAAAAGCTAAAACGACAGTTAGGTATTTTTAAACGGATGAAGTGTATGAAATTGTACGAGTGTTATCTTATCTGAAATCCAAACGACATAATGGATATGACACAAACTTTTCCCATCTAATGGATAGATTTTTTTGGTCCCAAAGTATGATGTATCCTCGCAAGAAGCTGCTAAAGTCAGACAGACACATAAATACAAACTTAGGAATGACAATTGGCAGGCCCAGGGGCGGATTTAGCCCAGAAACTCAATAACTTTTGCACGGATCTTATACTTCAATTGAAAAAATCCATTAGATATATAAGAAATACGACGTGAGAATCCATTAAAAGAGTGTTATTGGTTCAGTGACACAGAAAATGAACCTTTTAAGTGCAAACTTGTGAAATCTGAATAATTGAATCTAAAATCTTCAGGTGCTTAAAACTCGCGTGTGTAAAACACCTTAAAAATTTTCATTCTTATACTTAAATGATTTTGCCAGTGTAAGCAAATTTCTTCACATCTAACAATCGAAGATATATTTTTATACATAAATGTATAACAACATTTTGAGAGAATTTGAGTTGCTAGTCCAAAATACTGTGGTGAATGTTGTTGCCTGCCTTTGAAATAGTGAGATAAATCATAAATGATTCAACGTCGCAGTAAGTGACACCAGAGTCCTGACCTTTCCAGTAGTTGGTTCAAAGTCATTAACAATAACATCGACAATGAGATTTAAACTTTGTCCCAAGTCCCTCCTGAACAGAGATAAAACATGGATCAAAGGAAATCAGAAATACGCACAATACATCAATCAATCAACATAATTGAGCACAATTCTGCAGAAATAATCAAGTTGCAAAGATGGATAACGCAAAGTCGCACAGTGTTCCATTTCATGACACATGATGCCCAAACCCCAAGATATGATACAGAGATGTCAAGGCTAATAGTGGTGGAGGTTCTATCATGCTTTCCCAAAAATTTAATTTCCACACACTACCAACCAAAATGCATGCCATATTCAATAATGAGATATACAGAAACTATGACAATTGCATTCCAAATGGGTATTGAGTTACTTGCACACGATTGGGTTACAATCTTTGTGACGCCCAACGATGCATTTTGAGTTTTAAAGCACGACTAATCTGAAAAGATTTTAACAGAGAGAAGATTCACATATCTTAAACACTAGTGTGCACTTAAACGGTCTTCAAACTGCAATTTGTGAACCTTTTTTTCTTAACAAGTGTGGTGTCCAGGCCTGCTTGCACGTAGCTAGACTAATTCCAAAGAATACCACTCACCTCCCACCAGTGATAAGTACGTGGTAACTCTGTCCAAGGCTAGGACTGATGGGAAGAAATCACCTAGTGTTTTTGACTCTATTAGGATTTGAACATGAGACCTCATGGTTCTCAAACCTACTTCCTTGACCACTAGGCCACACCCTTTGGTGCACTGCAACTTGTGAACTAGAGCATGAAAAACTTCGAACAACTTCAGTTTTTCAAAGATTAAAAAAAAAATAGATTTAGGTTTCAACTTTTTAAAATCAGAGGAACTTGGCAACTCTGGTTACTATTGCAGAGGCTCAGCCATGAACCAGTTTTTGCTCTCAATCTCCAAAACTTCTTTTTACAGTAGAAATTGAAACAAAAACAGAGATTTCTAGGTTACCAAGAAGCATTCAAGGGACTCAAAAAGTTGTTGACTTGAAAATATGTACTCCATCTTTCGTAGAGTTTCATCATAGTGGTTGCAACCAGACCTCTGCAATTTTGGGGTATCAAACAATTATACTTGGGAAAAAGATTGTTTCTAGAGAAGAAAGTTCAAATGAAATTATACCAGACAAAAGTCATTTGTACTTCTTTTAGCATGCCTAAACTGCCATACTAAAGGCAAAGAGACATTCAGGAAGTGGATACCACACCCCAACCCAGAAACACGAAGAAGGAAAAAATATCAAAAACCATCACATTCAAAAGTAAAGAGAAAAAACATTCATAGGCTGAATTTAAATAATAAGCCAATCCACGCACCAAAATGTCAGATGATATTGCAAGCCACCAGGAACTTCCTTGAAGTCTATACTCTCTGCCTGCAAGCAATCACACTGGTAAGACCCGCTCAATGTGATGGTCCATCCGCATAGCTTATGAACCATACATAAGAAAATAACACATGAAGCTTCATCTAACAAAAACACTATTACGGAGAAAAGTGATTTGGCAAAATGATAGAAGTACAACAATCACATCTCTTCATCTTTTGCTGATATTTAAACAGGAAGGATAAAACCACATACAAAGGGAAATCGTCAGGACGCCATGTCGTTTGGACTGAAACTTCCCAGTAAGAGGCGTTTTTATCAGGATACATCAATTTTCCATTGTCTTACTAACAAAATATCTCGAATCCTGAAAATGAAGAGGTTCATTCCCCCAAGAAGTCCAGCCAGCTATCATTTCTCTAGCGAATAGTTCAACGCAACGAGCAGGCATAGACCCCGGCACATAATCTAGCAGCAGCTCTAATCCATGTGGATAAGAGAAAAATTATAAGACAACAATTCTTACGGTAAATAGTAGAAAATATCAATAATGTGTCATCCCTAGCTCTGCCCTCTATCCCAACCCAGAAAAGTAAAAACCAACTGAAAAGGGGGAAAAAGGGAAAAACGACATTATTCGAAAGGGGGGAAAATCAAAGGAGGACCAGAAGGGGTTGCAGCTTTGATATATTACAGGTTACCTCCAATGGGGGGTTTCCTTGAATAATCACCAGGAACACTAATGAACACTCGATTATCTGGTATAGGATTCAATCTTGTTGAATTCCCAGAATGTGTATCCTGCAAAGACATGTCAAAGTGAAGAAAAGAGTAAGCTTTAACAAAGGCAACTTCAAGACATGGGGCAAGCTAACCTTTCCATCACAGTAACCTAGGAGAAGACATTCATATGGTCGGTGATGAAAGAGATCCAATTCACCAGTCAACATTCCATTAGCCTTGACCTGTAACAAAAATCAACATAGATACCTAAGCGCATACTTTTAAGACAATATACACTATTTATCAGTGTTTTTGAAATTCCTCATCCCTCTCCCTACCCGTCTCCTCTCTCAGATAGAAGGTAGCTTAAAGATAACCTCAGAGTTGTGGACAAACATGATACCTTCAACCAGTAAAAGCTAGCAGCATATGTTACTCCCCATTTGGGAAATAAATCATTTTCCACAAAATCTCGCAACTTCTCCCTGTTGGTAACCCACAACGCAACAAGTGCTCCAGAGGTATGACAAAGTTGCTTGACGGGGAGAGATAAGAAGTATCGGTTTGGCAACGTTGGGTACCTGCAACCACATTTAGTTGCATATTGAATAGAACTATAGAAATCTACAACACAGACCTTCAAGCCTAATAGTTTCAGCTTCTAATATATTAGTCAGACAAATATTGACCCAATCTAATCAATCAGAGGAAATCACTTACAATATATTTGTTCAACTACCCTCCTAAGTCCATCTACTGCCTACCCCACCCCCAAAATTCAAAGAGAAACGTTTCCCTGTACTCTGTAGGGTGTACAGGGCATGAATTGTTCCTCAACTGACAGTCTTTGGAAAAAAAAAAACTTTGCAGAAGTGGAACCCCAGAAAATAAATGCTAGGCAAGGCTAGCTAAAAATCTAGAAACAAGAGAGACAAATCAGAGATAGGATTAACACACACCTCACTTTCTGACGAGCACTGCCATTTTCCCAAGGGGGGTCTATAACTATGAGATTGAAGCCACAATCAGAACCAGCTGAAAAAGAAAACACCAAATCAGAGTTTAAGCAGATGGCTCCCATATTCTAACTTATGCACGAACCATGAAACTACGTAATAAGTTTGGCAGGAAATGAGGATTTCTGCCTTTAAAATGGATACTTCCCAAGACATTGCAGATCCAATGGAATTTAATAAGCATTTTCTCTGGACAGCAGATCCCCGCTCAAACACAGAGACAAAAGGATCATAGCTCATTACCTGGGATTAAGCTGTCAATCTGCTGCATATCAGACTTCAAGACACAAGACCAATAAAATGCAAAAGTCAGATTTGAAATTCCATGCAGATAAATTAGATTTAAAGAAAACAAAACCAGAAAAAGAAAAGAACAGATAGCCGTTAGTAAACCCAAATGATTCTGGTCTCTGGATTTCAAATTTCATGAGAGAAAATAAAAGAGCCTTTCACAGAAACGAAAATATCAAATTTCATTTGCATGAACCAACAATATAAAGTAAATAATGAAACAACTAAAGAAGCATCTGCTTTGTATCATACCATATAAAAACAACTCCTTTTGGGAATAATATACTTGTGATTAAAAAGCTCAGCCTCTATATCATAGCTTCCCTCATTGGCAACAAGATTATTAAATGCAGGGGTCACTTTTTGTTCAATACTCTGAGCAAGCGGAAAACCTGAAAACCACACAGAAGACAGTTAGAAAACATAACCAGCCCAGGACTATGAGAAATAAGCTAACAATTTACTGAGATTTTATTGAAATGGATAAAAAGTAAGCCTTGGCACAACAGTGACTTGTTCCTTGATGACCAGTAGGTCACGGACTCAAAGTGCGGCAACAGTCTCTTTTGCAGACATGCAAGGGGAAAACTGCATACAGTATTCCCGCTCTCACTATCCCCACAGTGGTCAGAGAGCATTCGGGCTAAGTTTCTTTTTTTTTTAACTGAAATGAACTGTAAGTTTCTTGTAAAAGTAAAGCAAACCTCCATTTTGCAAAGTTTTATCATCTTGCTGATAATTGAGAACAATCTCACACAAAGGAGCTTGCCAAACACCTCCGAGCTCCATAAAGGAAAGTTCACTACTTTCCTGCGATAACTCCTTACATTCCCCCACAGAACATACATCATTCCTCAAATTTCTCAAAACTTTCAAAAGATCAGTAGCTTCGAGCAGAGCTTCATGCGCTTTCAACAAGAATGGCTTCACCTCCTTCAATACAATTAAATGTCACACTTAATGCACAGAAAATAAGCTGCTCTAAATTGAATACAGCAGGTAAACTTTTCTGAAAATGAAACTTTTATTCCTTGACCAGGGAGTAATGCGAGCTGTGTTTTCAGTAGTTTTCCTCCTCACCATTAACTAGAAACTTTTATATGTCAAATTTAAGAGTTAATTTGTCAAAAACACACTTGAATTATCACATTTTTGCGAGCTATCAGTTATTCACTTTTTCTACCTAAGTAACATCAACTATTTATCAAAACACACCTTAGCTAGCAATTGTTCCCTTTTTCTACCTGCAATATCACCATCCTTCATGTAGGAAAAGGAACAACTTATATTTGAGGTTATTTCGATAAACATTGTGATATTTTAGATAGAAAACTCACACACATGATAGTTCATATATGAAACTTGAAAAAACATGAAATTTAATGGTACCTGGTGACGACGATCGGCGATTTGTTCGCGCTCGTTGAGAGATTGAATCTTCTTCTTCCTCTTACGTTTTCCTTTTCTAGAATCTTCGGAAGCTTTTGGAGATTGTGCTGAGTTCAAGGAATCAAAGAAGCGAGAGTAATACGTAGAAGGCGAAACCCTAAACCGGGTATAAGAATGGTTGAGGATTCGAACCGGGTCGATGAAGAAGGCATTTGAGTTCAGCTCAGAAACTCCTGATTCCATCAACTGATTCTCTTCCATCTTCAGAATTGGGGAATTGTTCTGCTTTCCGGTTCATCGGACAAATATCGGCGGGAAGGGGGAAGGGGGAAGCGCGAAAGTTTGTTTATTTGCATTTTGGTACCCATATATTCTTAGATGTACGTTAAAGTCCCTAAAAATGTTTTCTTTTCACCTCCCGACCCTACTTCTTATTTATTTATTTATTTATTTATTTTCTTCCAGTAATTAATACTAATACTAATAGAAGATCAATACAAAAATTGAAAATTAGATATGAATATGAATTACATCCTAGTTTTTTTTTTTATAGAGATTTTTTGTTTTTTCATATAAGAGAGATTTATCAATTTTCTCGATAAATAATAAAAGAGAGAGACTAAATTTGGTTTCAAGAAATGGACATGGACATATTTTTCTTTTTTAATTAATTAAATATATTATTTGAGTCAGAGTAATATAGATTCAAATTTTATCTCTCTCACTTGTTTGTTGTGATTTTAGAGAAGAGAAAAAAAGTATTTGTTAACGCAGGTAGACTAATTGAGTGAAGAACTTTTTTTTATAGTGTCGTGAAGCGAAGCAAAATTATATAAGAAAATTCTCAATCCCAACTAGCTTCAATTTAGTTAAATAGATTAAACAGTGATATTGATCGTTTATCAATTCATGATCGCTGACCAATCTACTAACGGCTAACCTATCGAATATTGATTAAGGCTATTTTCAATCTCTTTCTTAGTCATTTATCAATTCAATATTGGTAATAAACTTCCTTTTCAATTGGTCAATTTCTTAATTCGAAGAAAATTAAGAAAAAGGAAAACGATGGTCATTTCATGCATTCTAATCTCTTTTTGATCATTAGTCCGTCCATTTCATGAAAGAAAAAATAAATCTTTCTATACACTCTCTTTGACCATTAGTTCTTTTGTCTCATTTTATGTGACACTTATATTTAATCTGTCCTAATAAGAATAATATTTTATTATAGTTAAAACTAATTTAATTTGACAAAATTTCTTTTATCCTTGATAAAACGATTTAAGTCAATTGATATTACATAAACTAAAACTGGTAAAATATTTCTTTTTGGATCATTAATATTAGTATTATTTCGTTATTCCATTGGTCAAACAACACTATACAAAAGAATAAGACATGTAACCGAATTGACAAACTTTTTTCTACTTTATTTCTTTTGCCTTTTGAAGTAATTACTAATACCAAAGTATAATCATATTTTTGTTTGACGATTAGGAGTCCGTTATGTTACATCAAAGTACATAAAATAATAATGGACCAAACATCATTGAAAAAAAAAACATATTACGTAGGGACATGTGGATAATATGAAGGCATTTAGAGATCAACATGAGTTGTGGTGCACTGGTGAAAGTGTTTTACCCTTAACCAAAGGTTTCGGATTCGAGTTCTGACTATGGAGAAAATCTTGTTGAGAGCGTCACCCTCAATGGGACCTGCAGTGCACGATCCCGATTTGATCGGAATTCTAATGTGGGCTCCGGACACCGGGTGAAAAAGAAAAAAAAAAGGCATTTAGAGGTCTTACTTTTGTGTGAGTTGTTTGGTTCATAAGATAAGGTTGGATATTTCATAATTAAATTTGAGATTGAATTTATAAAATTTTATACTTGGTTCATAGAACAAGGTGGAATATCAAATCTAACTAAGTGTTATTTTATTTTACCTTTCAAATAGAATAAATTAGTCAAATGATTATAATAATGAAATATATTAGTCCATAAATGAAACTAACAATGTTTGATATGTTGTAAAAGCATAAATAGTCTTAGAACAAAATTTTAGTTTCACTTTATCTCTTTTTGATTACTAATCGTGGTATAACTTAAACGACAACGTTAGAACTCAAGACTATAATAATAGTATCATGATTAATTATTCCTACATAAAACAATGAAAATGACAAGTCTATTCATGAGATTCTTCAAACTTTTTTTCTACTAAATAAAGTGAAAAGTAGTTTTATAAATAAACAACCTTTTTTAAAAATTATGTAAGACATGTCTTTTTTAAAACAACAAATTAAATTGTTGATTAAAATTAATTAATTTTAGCATAACCAATCTTTGAACTAGAAAATCCCTTAGTGGTTTTCTTCTTGTGCATGTATATGACTCATTGACAAATGACATATAACATTAGAGCAAAAATTGAGTGATTGGGAAAGGCAATAAGACCACATGGTCAATTTATGAAAAACAACTATCCCAAATTTTCAAAATTGTATCTTTTTTTATATATTATGACAACGTTAGAGCTCAGTACTATATTATGCATGTCAAATCATATAATAATAGTATCAGGATTAATTATTCCTACATAAAACAATGAAAATGACAAGAATATTCATGAGATTCTTCAAACTTTTTTTCTACTAATAAGTAAAGTGGAAAGTATTTTTTATAAATAAACAACATTTTAGAAATTATATTAGACATGTCTTTTTTAAAACGACAAATTAAATCGTCAATTAAAATTAATAAATGTTAGCATAACCAATCTTCGAACTAGAAAATCCCTTAGTGGTTTTCTTCTTGTGCATGTATATGACTCATTGACAAATGACATATAACATTAGAGCAAAAATTGAGTGATTAAGAAATGTGATAAGACCACATGGCCAATTCATGAAAAACAACTATCCCAAATTTTCAAAATTGAATCTTTTTTATATATTATTAATTAATAATTGGATGGCATTTAGAGCTCTTACTTTTGTGTTAAATTGAATTTTTTTAATATATTATTAATTAATAATTGGAAGGCATTTAGAGGTCTTACTTTTGTGTTGGTTGTTTGGTTCATAGATAATGGTTGGATATTCTATAATTAATTTAAGAATGAATTCATAATACTCTATTTGATTCCTAGGATAAGGTGAGATATTAAATCTGAGCAAGTGTTATTTTATTTTACCTTTCAAACGAAATAAATTAGTCTAACGGTTATAATCACAAAATATTTTAGTTCGTAAATCAAAGTGATCTAATGTTTAGTATATTGGCATAAGTAGTCTTGGGACAAACATTTGGTTCACTTTTATCCCCTTTTTATTACTAAAATTGTGGTATAACTTAAATGACAACGTCAAGATTATATTATGCTTGTTAGGCCATAGAATAATAGTATTGAGATTAATTATTCTTACCCAAAATAATGAAAATTACAATAAAACTATCCCTAGGATCTTTCAAAACTCTTTTTTCTACTAAATAAAATAGAAAGTATTTTTATAAATAAACAACCTCTTAAATATTATACAATACATCTCTTGTTCATGACATGTACTAAATCATTAATCATAACTTCTCTCGACTCATTGACATTATAGCAAAATTTGAGTGATTGAGAAAGGTAATAAGCCCACATGGTCAATTCAAAAACAACTATCCCACATTTTCAAAATTGGATCTTTTATTAATAATGAATCACCAACTTTTTTTTTGTTCAATTGGTGTCAAGAAGCAATGAACTATCCAATAATTTATTTATGGATGATATAGACCAATAGATAGTTACTTTTAGTACACAAGTGATTTATTGGTTGTGTTGTGTCATTTTGTTACGCAAAACTCTTTTTGGTTGTGTTACATCATAGTTTTATCTTTTGTATAGAGATTTTTTATTTTTTCATATAAGAGAATTGAAAATAGTACGAGAGATTTATCAATTTTCTCGATAAATTACAAAAGGAGAAGGACTAAACTTGATTTCAAGAAATAGAGAATGACGTATTTTTCTTTTATGATTAATCAAATATACTACTCGTTTTGGAATAACATAGATTCAAATTTTATCTCTCTCACTTGTTTGTTGTGATTTTAGACAAGAGAAAAGGTATTTGTTAACATAGGAAGGCTAATTGGGTGAAGATTTTTCTTTTTATGGTGTCGTGAAGTGAAGTGAAATGGACCAAATAATTATATTGATCGTTTATCAACTCATGATCGTAGATCAATCTACTAATTTATCGAATATAAATTAAGGTTGTTTTCAATCTCTTTCTTAGTCATTTATCAATTCAATATAGGTAACAAACTTTCTTTTCAATTGGTCAATTTCTTAATTCGAAGAAAATAAAGAAAAAGGAAAACGATGGTCATTTCCTTCATCTAAATCTTCTCTATACTCTTTATTATTAGTTTTTCCTTCTCATTTTATGTAATCTAACAAGAATAATAGTTTATTATAATTAAAACTAACTCTAGTTTTAAATATTTTTTTTATCTTTAATGAAATGATTTAAGTCAATCGATATCACATAAATTAAGATAGATATAAAAATTCTTTTTGGACCATTGTTATTATTATTTCGTTATTCCATTGGTCAAACAACACTATACAAAAGAATAAGACATGTAACCGAATGACAAACTTTTTTCTACTTTATTTCTTTTGCCTTTTGAAGTAATTACTAAATAACAAAGTATAATCATATTTTTGTTTGACGATTAGGAGTCCGTCATGTTACATCAAAGTACCTAAAATAATAATGGACCAAACATCAAGGTATTAAAAAAAACATATTATGTAGGGACATGTAGATAATAGAAAAGCATTTAGAGGTCTTACTTTAGTTTTGTGTTGGTTGTTTGGTGCATAAGATAAAAGGTTGGATATTTATAATTAAATGTGAGACTGAATTCATAATACTTTATTAGGTTCATAGGATATGTAAGATGCCAAATCTAACTAAGTGTTATTTTATTTTGCCTTTCAAATGGAATAAATTAGTCTAAGGATTATAATCACAAAATATACTAGTCCGTGAATGAAACGAATCAATGTTTGATATGCAGTAAAAGCATAAATAGCTTAGAACAAAATTTTAGTTTCACTTTATCTCTTTTTGATTACTAATTGTGGTATAACTTAAATGACAACGTTAGAGCTCAGTACTATATTATGCATGTCAAATCATATAATAATAGTATCAGGATTAATTATTCCTACATAAAACAATGAAAATGACAAGAATATTCATGAGATTCTTCAAACTTTTTTTCTACTAATAAGTAAAGTGGAAAGTATTTTTTATAAATAAACAACATTTTAGAAATTATATTAGACATGTCTTTTTTAAAACGACAAATTAAATCGTCAATTAAAATTAATAAATGTTAGCATAACC